GGATATTCACTATTCTTGGGACATTGCTTAGAAAAGTGGTTTCTATTTTGTATTTAGTTTTTCACTCCAGACATCCCTGAAATCTATCACAACTGACAATTAGGTAATAATTATGGAAACCACACTGAATCTCAAATAGACTTTCATAAAAACCAGCATTTTTCTCTCTTCCTTTCTCCCTTCTGTGAAGACAAATTGTGTGCACTGTTTAAAAAGTTTGAGAAACTTATGTCCTGAGGTCAATTTTTGCTTCTATACACAAGGTGCTAAGCTTTAATACACTCTGCATTTCCACTGGAGAGCCACCACCAATGTCCCCAGGGTGGCAGAGGCCTTATGGACATGAAACAACTGTCAGCAGTTGACCACCCGCCTCTCTCCCTGCATCCTTTTCTGAACTTTGAAATAAAACAGCTCTGGAAACATTACTTAGGGAAAATGTTAACTTTCCAACGGAGAGGATGCGAGTTCCACTAGGAACTGGTTTGTTTTGCTAGTTACAGAGTTTGATCAATCAGTTAAAAGCTATGATAGCCACTTACAGTTTTCCTGCTTTTGTCTGAATGCATTTGTCTGCACCATACTTCAAGAGCAAATTAGAGGCTAAGAGGAGACATGACCTTGGCAAAGCCAGGTGCGGTGGCTCACTCCTGTAATCCCAGCACTTTGGGAGGCTGAGGTGGGAGAATCACTTAATCCAAGGAGTTTGTGACCAGCCTGGACATTACAGTGAGACTCCATCACTACAAAAATTTGAAAAATCACCAGGCATAATGGTGTGTGTTTGTAGTCCCAGCTACTTGGAAGGCTGAGGCATGAGAATCTCTTGAACCCAGAAGTCAAGGCTGGCAATGAGCTACGTATACACCACTGCACTCCAGGGTAGCAAAACAAGACTATCCCTAAAAATGGGGACAGAACAATAATGACCCCTGAATATGTTTCCTAGCACTGTATATGTTTCTCAGCTATGACCAGCCTTCACTGCCGTGACAACTTAAAAACTAACTGCTGCTTCTTTGTCTAACACCTTTAATTCAGCCAGTGACTGCAATCTAGCCCTTTGGAAACCTAAGTTCTATATGTGGAAACACATTGCTCTAAAATATTTCTCCCCTTCCTCTGGTTCTAAGAATAGAAAGACGGTTTCAGTTTTGATTTTTCTGCCTTTATTACATTTTTGCTTTTGAGATACAAACAAACCTCTCTTATACCACACACAAAAAAACATCCATTATTGTGATTTTTAAAGTGCATTTCCCCTTGAACTTTGTGTACAAAAATATTTATTTTTTAAAACATGCAGAAATTTCTTGACAAGGCACTTTTAGGCATAAAATGAAGATGAGTCCTCAGTTCTACATTCACATTGAAGTAAAAGGAAACATTGTCACAGCTGCGTTCCTGAAGTCCTCCAAGCCCAGCATTTCTAGGAACAATCAAGGAGACTGTGAAAACATTCACAGCTTTACCGTGTGGGCTGCAATGCTTACAACCATGACAAGGAAAAACTGCCTGTAACAACAGCTGTCTTTCCGGCCCCAGATGTGTCTTGTCCCACTGCAAGCAATTAAGATAAGCTGCCAAATAGTCTTCAGGCAACCCTGCAAGATCCCATTATCCATGTAACTTCTATTTCCAATTTCAGTGATCATGTCAGGAGAGACATGATCAGGACCCTCTCAGCTCAAAGAGTCACCAGGTCTACATTCAGTGGAGGAATTTTAAGAGAGGAAACAAATGAAAGACAGCCAAGGTTCTCACTTCCTGTCCATTGAGAGAGACAAACCAGAGAACGGACACTTCTAAGAAAATGAACAAACACTTTTCTGGTCTAGAAGCATGTATAGCCCATTTAACATCCAAGTGATTACAATTAATGCTGGTTTTTTATTTTTTTAACGCAAATGATATTCAAAGATCAAAAAACACAGAGCATTCTCTTCACGGTTCAAATTTACATCTCTAAAAAAAAGTTTCATGTTTTACCACCATTAAGATCGAATCTTAGACATAAAAAAACTCTACCATTGACTTTGAAATTGTTTTAATTTCTGGAGTCCTGCATAACTCCATGATTTCTTACTAGTTCTCCAACATCAAGAATTTTTTTTAAAGAAAAAAAATTCACTCAAATGTTTTCTGTCTCCCAAGAAATAGTAAAAGCTTATTTATGACACATCTTTAATATGCTCCAGCTTACTTCTTATGCCCAATTTGCAAATGCTCCCCAGGGCATTATATGAAACAAAATGAAGTTGCTTCCCCACTCCTGGGCACTTCTACCTTTGATAGGTGGCTGGACCTTCTGGGGCAATCTGGGGAAGACACTAAGCTTGGAGCTATCCATCACCATAACCAAGAGCTATCTGAAGGCCAACTTACAAGTCAGGCTGCAGTGAAGTCTCCAACTAAGAAAACTGTCACCCCCAGAAGTGTGGCAGCCTATCTATGAATGCTGAGCTGGGTATGAGGGGAGGACCGGATCTACCAAGGTGGTTCCTGAAGACATCAAGAAGATCCTGTGACAGAACTGGACCAAAAGAGAAACTGTGGTGGGGGTGGAGGTGGGGTGAGTGGTAAACAGAAGCCAGACAGAAGACAGCATTCTTCAAGTCCTCTGACCTCACTGAGTGACAGCCCTGATGAGGGAAGTTGGGCGGGCAGATTCTTTTATGGAGAAGGGTCTTTCCAGGCAGGCAAGGACTTGCCTTCTGAACTGTGTGGTGGGGTGAGCATTCCAGGTGTGTTGGCTGGGGGCTTGCAACCAGTGCCCCCAGCAAAAAAGCCAGGGTGAGTTGGGAGAAAGAAGGGTAGGGGAAGGGTATATGGCTGTCTTAAAAGAGATGCTTATCTTGAATCACCATATTTCAAATTTTGACATGAGAATGTCTTAAGATTATTAGACAAAACCAAATAGTGTTTATTCCAGAGTGACTTGAGGTCTTTTTCTTAACATAGAATGACCCTCAGTCTGGTAACATGTAAATATACAATGTACTTTGTACCTTTCCACCTTTCCTGCATGGGGCGGGGGTAGGGCTTCTTAACACAAAACAAAATTCATGACCCATGTGAAATCAGTTCTGCTTCCTTTTGAGTTAGAGTTATACTATTAATAATTGTGATCATCAACTTATAACATTTAAAGTACTGTCTATATAATTGATAGATGGTATGCTTGGATAAAACACAGTTCTGCCCAATTTCAGCATAAGATTAAAATGTGATTTCCCCTCCAAATTATATTATGTAATCCCAGAGTGCTACCCACCTGAGAGAAGCACAAAAAACAATGCACTAGGACTGCAGACGAGGGACAATTACACAGTTTTAGGAAAAAGAATTACACTGAACACTGCTACAGAGCATTTAAAAAGTTAAAGCATTTTAAAGTTCAAAAATGAAAAAAAAAATACAACCACAAAACCCTAGGAGCCAAGGCACTCAATACCTGTCTGACAGTGATGTACAAAGCCATAAACCGGGAGGTCTTTTCTAGTTAATCTGGAAAATCAAGCGCAAGACTCTTCGCTTGAACAGCCTGACAGCTGTGCCTCCAAATCCGGGCAGCTATGCACTCCTCTCCTGCTTGTCTTAGAAAACCCTTACCTTAGTAAGATCAGGCAAAACAGAAAATAAAAGTCATTGAACCAAACTCCAGAAACAAAGAAAGCCAGAAAAAAATAACTTTCTACAAATATCCATGAAAAAATATTTTTAAAATACCCCTAAATAAAAACCAATCTTGCCCAAAAATAATCACAGGTTTTCGGGATCCATCTGACAATGAATAGCCCAGGAGTCTCTTTTACAATAGCATTAAACAACCGACTCTAGTCCGATGCAGTTAAGAACAATGAATCTCTGATGTTTCAGAGTTGGCAAATGTTTAAAATAACATTCAGGAATTGGGTGAGGTTCTCCTTCCCTATCCCTTTACCTACTCACATACCATAAATAAGAACACCCAAATCAATGTCCCTGGGTGCTTGTAAAGTGTCCTGGGTATTATAAATCACAGTCAAATAAAATCAACCGTTTTCTGAGGCTTTGCGGATATACTGGATCTGCAAATCAAATGTCCTTGACATAGCATAAAAGATCACTCTCCAGGAACGGAGATCTGAAATTCTTTTGTAAAGAATGAGACACTTGCAAACCAGCCAAGCAAGTTAAAGCTAATCTTGTAATTGAACCTTCTGGTGATTCAGGGTAAAAGTGAGTACTTAGAAAGCTCCCCCAAAAGCCAAGAGGAGAAGCCAAAAGTGTCCCACTCACAACTGTCCTGCCCTGTCATATTCCCACAATCGGTGACACCATCCAGGAGCCGGTGGCTTTGGATAACGGGTATGCTGCTCTCTGCTGGAATATATCTGTGGGGTCAGGAAGAGGGGAGAGGAAATGCCTGTCTCAGTCACAAGCTAATTTGCCTTTATTATCTTTTCCTGAACATCGGATGAACTGTAGAAGGAAATAAAATGCAAAAGGTGAACTTGCAAAAGCAGCAGCAGATCCCATCTCTCTTCTGTAGCTGCATCAGAAATGTGCGGCGTGAGGTCAGTATGTCACAGCCCAGAGATGAAGTGTGAAGTATGTGTAGACATGGGACAGAAGCAGCAGGCAGGGAAGGCCCAGCTGGTGGAGACTGCCCCAAAATGAACATCGAGGATCCCATGGGAGGTGGCTGGGGGCTGAGCGACCTTCAGGTGACTGACGGTCCACATCTGAGTAGAGGGGGAGGAGAGGCCCCTCCAGCCTCGCCAGCAGTGGCGCAGACATGGTTCCCAACCAGACCTTTCTGGCACTCTCCTGCTGAGCCCCTGTGGCTGCCACAGTGCCAAAGCGTGTCAGCCCACCACTGCTCCTCTGAGTGTGAAACCCATTCAAGGATTTGAACCGGCTAGATGTGCTGGTTTAAGAAAAAAGTGAATAGGATCCTTTCTTTTCCAAAACTGGGCCCATTGGCAGTTCCACCTTGCTTTTGTCTGGGCTTCCATCTCCAATGCGTAGTGAGCAGAGCCAGGATTGTCCTCAGCGGCCCCACCAGGCCCTGCGGTCACTAGTAGTAGGGCCCTAGCTTTTCATATCCTAAATAACTCGGCCACTCAGGAAACAGGCCGTAGGAACACCGAGGGCTTCCGAACTGGTCAAAGGATATTCCCAAATCGGAATATCCGTTGTGTGGCTCAATTGTCCCCTGAGTGGATTTTAACTCAGCCCGGATGATCCTGTAGTTTTTGCCCCTGTTGCTGTCCCAGTGAGTCTGTCCATTGCACTCGTAGCACACAGCAAACTCCATTCTCTCATAAGACTGAATCTTCTCAGGTAAGCTGATGTCGAAGGAGAATGTGTCCCTGTCTGAACCGGCGTAAGTGTCCTTCACGTACCGACAGGGGAAGTCTGTGAAGCTTTTCCAAGTGTCAAACGTCATCCTTATTTTCACGGTCTTCTCAAATGCAAGATTCTGGACCTTCACAGTGCCCGCGATGGCCTTGTCCTTCAGCACACAGTTCTCGAGGCAGACATGGTCGGCCTGAAGTCGATTTCTAAAGTCTAGGTAATCTGCAGAAGGCTGGGAAAAATCCAGAACAAAGCTCTCGCTCTCTGCTGTCGTCAAGCTCACAATGTTGTCTAGGAGCTCGGTGATGTTGAATGGGATATCTAGCGGGTCATCGAATTCCGAGAACACTTTGACCATTGTCAGGGCCAGGCCTTGGTTGTCTGCGAAGGACACCCGCTTTTTTACCTTCTTCTCCTGGACCGCTGGGGCCACCTTCCCACTGGCTTCATTCTTGCTGCTCAGCTGAATGCAAGGCCTCAGAGGCTTGCTGGGCTTTGGTGAGATCTTGAAGGCAAACCTCTCTCGGCGCAAAGAAGGAGCCATGCAGTTGTATCTGTACTCTATGTCCACAGCCATCATTGGGCTAGATGAATAGGCTAGAACCCTGGAAAGAGAGGAAGAGAAAGAAAACAGCAAAGAGATCAGATAGGTACACGCTTATCAGTCCAGCAGGGCCTGGCAAACGGTGTTTCCTTTCATCTCTGCCTACTCGGTACAGTTCAGGATTAACTCCAGTGTGGTCCAGCATGACGCTGGTCCCAAGGTTGAAATTAACAAATCAACAAAAAATAATGACGCTCACTAGTTTTAAAACTAAATTCACAGTTTTTTCTGTCAGGATTTCTTGGTGCCACAGAGAATAATGAAAAGTGCATTTCCCAAACTTATCTGACTAAAGAACCCCTTTTTTGGTGGAGTATCTTCCACAAACAGCTGTCTTGAGGAACACATTTGGTAAATACTGACTGTTATTTATTAGTTGATAAGTAAAAACTGTGTGTATGCATATATATATATATATATATATATATATATACACACACACACACACACACATATATGTTATACAACATATCGTCTATATATACATGATATATGTATACACTGTAGCTAAATCGAGTTATTTAACATGCATTGCCTTATGTATTTATCATTTTTTGCGTGATGAGAACACAACGTCCACTCGCTTAGCAATTTTCAAGTGTATAATATATGGTTACTAATTATAGTCATCCTGTTGTATAATAGATCTCTTGAACTTATTCTTCCTAATTGAAATTTTGTATCCTTTGACCAACAGCCCTTGGTAACCACCATTCTACTCTCTGTTTTTATGAATTTAACTTTTTCAGATTCTAAATATTAGATCATTTAGTATTTGTCTTTCTATGCCTGGCTTATTTCATTTAATATAACATCCTCCAAGTTCAACCATGTTGTCGCAAATGACATGATTTTATTCTTTTTAAAAAGACTGAATAGTATTTCACTGTGTGTATATACCACATTTTCTTTGTCTATTCACCTGTCGATGGAAAGTTAGGTTGTTTCTATAACTTGGCTATTGTGACTACTGCTGTAATGAATATGAAAGTGCAGATATCTTGTTGACACTCTGGTTTTATATCCTTTGGATATATACCCAGTGGTGGGATTGCTGGGCTAATTGGTAATTCTATTTTTAGTTTTTCAGGAGCCTCCAAACTGTTCTCCGTAATGGTTGTACCAATTTAAATTTCCATCAGTGCATAAGGGATCCCTTTTTTTTCACATCCTCACCAACACTTATTTGTTTTTGTCTTTTTGAAAATAGCTATTTTAATAAGTGTGAGGTGATATCTCATTGTGGTTTTAATGAGAAATACTGCTGTAATCTTATAAAAAATGAATTCACCTAAAAAATATTGATTTGGTGTTTATTCTAAGCCAGGATTATGTTAGACACTGGGATTTAATAGTGAAGACAGACAAAAAGCTGCTTTCACTAAACTTACGGTAGGTTTTTATATTAGAAGTTATTTTTCTTTAAAAAAATTTTAGTATTTTTAAATCTTTCATACTGGTGAATATCTTTTCTACAGGTGAAAATATCTATAAGATAAGAATAAAATAGAATGCTAAAAGAGGTTAAATCTGAATTCATAAAAAACAAGTTTTTCTGCAAATGAAAAAAATAAGTAAAACTAAAAAGATTAAAGACAATCTGGGAAAATATTTTAACAAAAGTATAACAGAGAGAGTTAATAGCATAATATATAAAGTGTTCTTTCAAAACAATAGCAAAGTCACATATTCCACAGAGAAAAACGAGCATAGAGCATGAATAGAAAATTAATGAAAGAAATTAAAAAGTGGCTCACACATATGCAAAATGTTCAACCTTATAATTAATTTCAGAAACTTAGATGAGAAAAATGCCTATTTTTACCTATTGAATTAGGAAAGAGTTTAAAAGATAATACAAATATTTTTTACAGTCTACATTGGCACAATCTTTCTAATGCTCTTATTTTTTGTTCTTATATCACACAGAGGTATCATCCTAATAAAACAATTAAAAATTCATGAAGATTAATATACTAAAATATTCAATGCAACACTATAGGGGACACAAAAGCAAGAAAATAAACTAAATGACTAGGTACCTAGTTAAATCAAAACCATCCTCTCCTCTTCCTCCTCAGCCTACTCAACATGAAGATAATGAGGATAAAGACCTTCATGATGAGCTACTTCCACTTAATGAATAGTAAATATATATTCTCTTCCTTATGACTTTTTTGTTTTGAGTTAGTCTGTCGCCCAGGTTGGAGTGCAGTGGCACGCTCATGGCCACACCACAGCCTCAACCTGCTGGGCTTAGGCAATTCTTCTGCCTCAGCCTTCCAAGTAGCTGGAAGTACAGGCGTGAGCCACCATACCCAACTAATTTTTTTTTTAATTGGAGTCTCACTCTGGAGTGCAGTGGCACGTTTACGGCCACTGCAGCCTCGATCTACTGGACTCAGGCGATTCTTCCGTCTTAGTCTTCCAAGTATCTGGAACTACAGACGCAGGCCACCACGCCTGGCTAGTATTTTTTTGTGATTTATTGTAGAGATGAGGTCTCACCAAATTGTCCAGGCTGATCTTGAACCCCCAGGCTAAGGCAATCCTCTTTCCTTGGCCTCCCAAAGTGCTGGAATTATAGACTGAGCCGCTGTGCTTGGCCAATTTTTTTTTTTTCAGTTGTAGAGACGACATCTTACCAAGTTGCCCAGGCTGGTCTTGAACCCCTGGGCTCAGGCAATCCTCTCACCTCGGCTTCCCAAAGTGCTGAGATTACAGGCATGAGCCACCACGCCCGGCCTCCTTATGATCTTCTTAATAACATTTTTTTTCTCTAGCTCACTTTATTGTCAGCATACTATATATAACATACAAGACGTGATAATCGACTGTTTATGTTATCAGTAAGGCTTCCCAGTCAACAGCAGGCTATCACTTTCGTTTTTGAGGAGTCAAAAGTTATACACAAATTTTCAACTTTACAGGAGTCAGTGTCCCTAAGCCAAAGACAGCTGGCCAGCTTATATTATGTAACTGTAGAGAAAAAAGATTGGGGATATAGTTAAAACTATCAGAATATCTAGGTGTCAGGATTTCAGGAAGTTTCTATTTTCCTGGTTTTTACTTTTTATGTTTCTTTAAAAATATTGCCTCTAGAATCAGAAAATAAAATGAATCTTAAAACAAAAACCTCTAATTTTTTTCAGATTTGCCCCCAAAAATCCCAAAAATAGCTTCACTAAAGCCAAGCACGTTTTATCATTCTAATAACCATGGTAAACTTCTATTTATATTTCACAGCGTCAGTGGGCTAAATTGAGAAAGTTGGTGACAGAACCAGGATCAAAATCCCAAGTCTGAGAATCACAGAACATAGGACCTAGATTAGCTCCCCAAAGTACCTGTACTCCTATGGCGCCAGTGTACCTCTGTGGTGGTGTGTTGGGGTGCCCACTTGTAGGCAGTCATTGCTGCCCCTGAGAAGGGACAGGCAAAATGTTGAGCATCTTGTGACAAGAGCTGGGACCGCTGGTTTGGTCCAATAAATAATCTTTCATTTCACCCTCTGATTTTGATTAACCTATAAATATTTACATATAATGATTTATATAAAACGATATAGAGAAAAAATGCAAAAGCATAAAGACATATCAGGTTGGATCCCACTTTTCTTTCTTTATTTTCTTTTTTCGAGTTGGAGTCTCACTCTGCTACTCAGGATGGAGTGCAGTGGCGTGCTCACAGCCACCGCAGCCTCCACCTGCTGGGTTCAGGTGATCCTTCTGCCTCAGTCTTCCAAGTCGCTGGAACTACAGGCGTGCACTACCATGTTCAGCTAATTTTTTTTTTTTTTAATTTATTGCAGAGATGAGGTCTCGCCATGTTGTCCAGGTTGGTCTCGAACCTCTGGGCTCAGGCAATCCTCTCACCTCCGCCTCCCAAAGTGCTGGGGTTACAGGAGTGAGCCACCAGGCCTGACTGGATCCCATTTTTCTAAACATACAGTACTTCCCCAGGATACCAGAAACACTTAGTGTTGACCAGTTGGAGAAATACACAAATTCAGAGTCAAAGAAAACAGAATAGCATATGGTACTTAAACATTCATTTTAAAGGACATTTGTCACAATATTTCTCCTCTAAAAAAGTCGATCTAGTGAAAATTGTAAGGACAAATTTGCTTTCTATTATGTGTTCCTATACTCATCCAATTGTTCTGGAAAGAAAAGTCCTTACTGAATCAGACAAGATAGGTTGACAGAAGATCAATGAGCTAACAGGTTTGATATATAAAAAAAATACCATACTTACAAATTTCTTGAATTTTAGTTCTTGTTCACTGCAAAATATTATGTTGAAATGTTCTGGAATTGTATCTTTGGCTCTAATTCTAACACAGGTAGTTTTTGTTTTGTTTTGTCTCCTTTTTAAGTATGTATGAAAACCAAATAACAGCCCATGCCTTGCATCCCATCGCCTCCCACTCTGCCCATCTTTAAAAACCTGGGTGTGCACGTAGGGAGGAGGGGTTCCTCTCCTGTAGCTTCCTCCTTGCCTGAGTCAGCACAAGGTCAAATGCAAGTTCTCTATGCGCCTCTGGCAAGCCTGCAAACTGACCTCATATGTGCTTTCCCGCACATTAGAAAAAGCTTGGAAAACTCTCAAGATATTTGTAGGAACAGAATTCCAAAGTAAAGGGATTAAAGAATCTGTACACTTGCAGCTGACTGAAGCCACTCCCCCAGGTCCTAATCCAGCAGGTTCAAGAGACTTAGTGGTGACCTTGGTAGAATTTCACAGTTTGAACCCAGTGGTATAAATTTGCCTTTTTTAATCACTAAAGGGAACTGTGGGTGGGGACGCTAGGTTCTAGTCAGAGTCACAGCTAATTCAACAATTCCACAGGCACTTTCACGAGTCAAACGGTTATTGCAAGATTCTTCCAGGAAAAGCAAAATTAAGGTTACGTTGGCCCAGGAATCACCACCAGAGCTACTGCCCCAAGGACACTGCACAAGCAACCCGTCTAGGATCTCTTCACTTTTTTTGTGTGTCACCGTAATTGCAGGTGAGGGACATTAACCCCTGTGGCCTCAATCTAGGGTATGACCTGACTGTCAGCTACCTTGCCTGGCCTCACTGATAAGATTCTAGCTTCTATTAACCTGATCACTCTCCAAGAATCAGTGCACCTAAGTGCTGGTTTGATGTAGGCTTTCTTTTCCTGTTTAGGAATCCCCCAGTAGACTGTGTCAGGGATGATTTCCACCACCCAGAAGTACTCCTAGCAACTAAGGTGTACAAGGTAATACTTTCATAAGTCCCTGAAAGGAAGGCACCTGGACAGGTGCTTTACTTGCAAATGACATGAAAATGATCAGTTTCAACACAGGATGCGACAGGCTGCAGCTCAGGCCTCTTTTCCTGACAGACTGTGGCTGCTCCAACCCTGTCCCTCTTCTAGCTCAGGGAATATGAGTCACTTCAGTTAGTCAGGGAAAAAAAGAATCGGAAGAGCTGGACACACATTTGAACCAGCAAAGCAGGACAGAGGATGTGGGATGCCAGTTGCAAGACAGGAACATGAGCACATGCGTAGCTGTTCCCAGATTAGTGTGGATTCACGAACACTGTGCCTCCATACAGATGCCTCAGAGAGTACAGATCAATTTTCCCCGATGAGAGACTGGGCCATGCCTTAGGGTAGATTTGAGTGTTCATGGTCAAATATTTCATGAAAACTGGACAGCATATGGATAGTTTTACATAAATGCTTTCTCTGTTCCACTAGTGATAATAATAATAAACACACACATACCCCTTAAGACAGCTGGCTGAGCTTAGACACCCATGGTGATTTTTCCTGTGAAAATTATAGACCAGTACAGAAAACAATTCCATGACCACCACAGTTTCAGGTATTTGAGCTACCAACTTTCTGGCTGTGCTGGTCCCCCATTCTTCCTACCCCACTTTCTCTCTCTCTCTCTCTCTCTCTCTCTCACTCTCTCTCTTCTAATAAGAAAAGCCAGAAAAGCCAGTCACACAAACAAGCCATCTTGACACTAAAAACTGCCAGACTGCATTAGGTAAGCATTTGCAACCAGGTTATAATTTTTTTTTTTAAAGACATGGCTGTCTATCTCCCTTCAACAATATTTTATCCCTTCTCAAAAGGTTTCAGTGATACAGTATGGATAGAGTGGACAGGTTTTCCCTTTGTACTCAGATCATGGGGTCCTTATTACAGCCTTAAAAGCTACTTGTACCCCTTGATCCTGTCCATCCAAAGTATCGTTGCTATAAATGTTTGTGAATAAGGCTGCGTATTCTAGGAAAGAGGCAAGGTAAAATGACACAGTCCCTGGCATCTAAAAATGTACAAGAGGAAACAACATTGGCCTACCAGAGCCTGCACCTAGCTGTGCCACTTGTGTGAGTCACTCAGTTTCTCTGGGCTTGAGGTTTCCCCTTTGAGGTCCCTGCTGGCTCTGACATTCTAGCAGCCTGGTGGTGCTTCTCTTCCCACTAACTTTTCCCTAAATACTTCAACTTTACTTTTGTGGTAAGTCTTCCAGCTGTCTTCATTTTAGTCTTGGCTCCTGAACAACTCTGCCCAATGAACCATTTTCTCTTATTTTCCTCTCTCCCAGTTCAAAGCCCTACCATCTCTTCGCCTGGACCCTGGGTCTCCCAGGGAGGCCGGCCACACAGACCACACAGTCTCCAACACCTTCCAACAACTCTCCAAGTTCCCAGGGAGTCTCCCCCGCCCCCTCCCGTTTTCTCCTTCAGAAAACAATACCCTGACAGGCCCAAATCTTTTAGTATGTCATGCTAGGCCCCCACCCCACCTCTTTTCCAGTTTCTGCCCCTTCCACACCCCTTTCTCCAGGTCCAAAGGGCGACACGAACAGGGTGCCGGGACGGGTCAGTACGTCCAGGCAGGAGGATCCCACAGGTCACTCTATGACTCTGTCCCCTCTGCTCAGCCCGGCTCGGGCTGCGCCTCGCCCCCCATCTTTCCCGCGGGCCTCCTCGGCCTCGCGTTGCACCCACCTTTCGGGCCGCGGACAAGCCCCCTCCCCAGCTCGCTCGCTGCATCGGAGAGCCTGCAGGAGGTGGCAGAGGCGGTCGCTGCCACCCAACTACGTGAGCGCCGGTGTGTCCGGGAGGCAGGGCCTGGGCTGGGTTCCCGGAGATGTGACCGGCAGGGGGAGGAAGACGACGAGGAGGAGGAGCCCAAGTTATCACACCGGGGAGGGGCGGGCGGCGGGGCAACTCCGGTCGGAGCTGCGCGGCACTAGCACCCCCGCGCGGCCGCCTCGCCCCCGCCAGCCGGGACGGCCCGTCTGGGGACCGGGATCGCCCTGGATCTGGTCGCCCTCGGCGATCTGAGAGGCCACTGAGTTTCCCCTTGCGTTCTACGGGGAAACTGAGGCCGGAGAGGGACGAAGCGAATTGCCACCGCCCAGCTCTGGGGACATCCTCCAGAAGTGTCGGGCGGGACCCAGGCTGACAACTTATGCCATGTTCGAACTCGGGGCAACAGGTGTCAAAAGTATGAGTAGTTCCAGCCCAACCCCCGGGCCACCCCGGGTGGCCGGGATCCGCAGCCCGGTGGAGCACGTGGGTCGGGCCGGGCCGGGCTCATCCCCGCTGTGGTCCCCGGATCGCCCTCGCCACGTGGACGCAACAGCTACCTGGGGCCTGTGTAGCGTGTCCCACCGCCAGTGTGTCACTGCACGTCGGACGGTGACAGTGTAGGTGGCAGGAACCCAAGCGGGTCCCCGCTGAGCGCCCGTCGCCGCGGTGTCCCTGGCCCTGCACCTCGGACTCGCGGCCTGGGGAGGTACGTACCGGGTACAGCTCATAAGTCCCGAGGGCAGACGCGCCAGCCCGCGGCAGCATCCGCGCCGGGGTGACAGGGACCGCGGCGGAGACGGGGGTCGGGTTCGCGCCCCCCGGTGGGCAGCCGCGTTTGTCGGTGCCGGAGAGCCGCCCGCTCGCCTCCTCCCTCCGGCCAGTCACCGGGAGTCGGGCTCCGCGCGCCCGTGCTGCCCCCTTTAACTTCCCGGCCACCTCTCGGGACTCGGGCTTCCCTCCCAGACCCCCTTTCACGTGAACGCCCCCCGCAGCCAATGGGCGCGCCCGGGACGCGAGCCGCCGACCAATGGCCGCGCAGCCGCGGCCGGGGCGCGTCGCTCCGCCGCGTGATCGGCGGCGCGCCCGGAGTGACAGGGCTGGGTTCCAGGGTCAGGGAAGGGGGCGGTGGGTCACCCTTTCGTCAGGAGTCGGTGGACAGGCGCCAGGGGGCAGGAGCCGTTCCCTGCAGAAGAGCGTCCGGTTGTCGCGAGACGGCTTTTTATAAAGTCGGGACTGGGGCAAAGGACTGGCACCCATGGCACAGAGTGGTCGAGGGTTTCTCAAGTAGAATATTTTAGAGGAGGTCACCTGACTCGAATCTGTTATAGTCACGGCCTACATCTGTGATACACCTTGAGGTCTATAGAGAATGATGACCTGACCCCCCCCCCCCCAATGACTTTAGCAGAGTTTGATTCAGAGGCTCTTTCTCTCACAGGAGATCAATCTGTCTGTAAATTGATATGAGCTAGCCACTTTAAGGACAAGGCTCCCCTCTTCTAGTTTTAATGACCAGTAATACTTTAGAAAAAATATTGGAAATTGATCATTGATATAGGATTGCCAGTTTTTTAAAGTGCTAAGACAGATATTAAAGTAAGCATACCATACCATTTTCTATTACCATCCTTTTTATTTTTTTAAAATACTCTTTAATAGCAATAATAAAATGCAGGAAGGGAATAATCTCAGAGTAAATGCCAGTCCTTCACACTGGATATTTTTAACTTTATGAAAATTCATTATGCTGAATATGGTACTTGGGAATTTCTACTCTAAGGGTTGTAAAATCAGCTTCCAATATTGTTAGGAATGCAAGGCTAAAACACTCAGCGGTTACAATAATCCAATACAAGCCGTCACCTCTATGGCGAGCTTCCCCAGACGAAGTCTTCCTGTCTGAAGAGTGATCATTAGTTTTCTTCCTTCTCCTCTGATGGGCAAATCTGATAAAGGACCACCTGTGAAATCAGCTATTGGTAGGCGGTTGGCAAATAGAGTTTCTGTGCTATATTCCCTCTGCCAACTTTAAACCTCCTCTTGTTAGCTGATGAGTAGGTTGAAGATTTTTTAGCCAAGTGTGGGCTTAGTTTCCCAAGTGTGGTGAGCATGCTCAAGGAGTGGGCACATTTGAATGGCCAACAGGTATTGCAAAATGTATGCAGGCAAAGGGTGACCTGAGCCACACAGGGAAAATGTTGGGATGAGCAAATACAGCTTTATAGCATTAGGATTTGGAAGCATTTTTCTTACATAGGTCTAGGAAAGCATGGGCAATAATTTCCCTTGTGGTGTAGATGACTATTTCAGACCAGGAGAGTGAGGCTAAATTTAGTTGTGGCACACCGCAGCTTTGGTAGGTAGGAAGGTGGCATCCATGAGTTTGAAAAGAGCACAGTCTTGAAATCAGAATAAAGATGGCATTCCTGCTCAGGAAGACATTTCCAGCAGGAGACACGACAGTCCAGGGCCCCAGAACCTGAGACCCACACCTCCCTCAGACACCATCTTGCCTCACTCTTTGATTTTATGGCAACAGAGAGCAAAAGTGAAAATGGAAAATTTCAACTTTTTAGTCAATGCACACCGAATTCCTTATATAATATCTGGCACTGAATGTTAGCCTCAATTTCTTTTAATAACCCTTCTCCACCTCTCAAAAAAACAGAAACAGAAAACAGCAGTGGCTAAATGTAGCTAATTATTATTCTTCCATAAACTATTCTTTTTCATGCCTATCAGTGGTAGCACTGTCTTTCCTCTTCCTTGCACTTAACCTCATCTGTGGCTCCTTCAGTTCTCTCTTATTCATTCATTTATTCAGCAACACATTACTGAGTGACCATCATAAGCCTGGATGCTGAAATGGAAAATGTAGTGAAATATAATCTTACCCTCAAGAAGCTCGTAGACTAATCAATAACGACCTGGTACCAATCCATGGAAGGCAAGTCTCTGTGTCTGGGGAGTTAAAAGGAAGACTCTGTGTGTTTAGCAGTGGGAGTGGGTGGGGAATGGGGAAGGGCAGAGGAGGCTCCCAGAGATGGGACCATTGAGCAGGACCCTGGAGGAGGAGTCAGAGTTGAGGGGTCATGGGAGACAGCAGGGCAGGAATTAGCAAAGACACAGAGTTCTAGAAGCTCCCCAAAAATTTCCACTATGCTGATTAAAAATGAGGTCCTCTTTCTGGTTTAATTATTAAACAATATTCCTTTATACATATATTATTAATAGCATCAGTTTTCTGCTCATCCAGAAAATTTTAAAAATATATTGCACATGTTTTAACTTTTCCTCAACTTAATGCATTTCAAAAATGGTTCAAACCTAGGTTCTATCCTAATCCAAGATTTTGCAAGAGAAATCTCTCTTTTTGAGTTCTAACATTGCTTCTTTTTGAATGAAAATTATTGAAAAATTAATCTAAATAAAAATAACCAGCATCAGGAGTCAGAACTAAAGAAGAGAACATTCTTATGGTTGATCAGAATAGAAAGTGGGGAAGATGATTTCCACACTGCCTAAGTCAATTTATATTTAGCCGAGTGGAGTTGTTTGCACCTGTCAGAGCCGCAGACATGTTCTGGCGCATTATGTTACCTGGGGCCCTCTGCCCCTCTTTCAGATTCGACTGACATTGACTTGCAAGGTCATGTTTTATGGGGACAGGCAGAGGAATACTTACAAAGGAACTCTATAAGCTTCTATCTATGGAGACTGTGTCCTTAGCATGTGAGAAGATCTTGAGTAATTTACATGCCAAAGCTCCTAGAGCCTATTAGGGCATTTTTCTCACTGTTGAGGGCTTTTGATTTTCTGAGTGAGGTTGGCAGATGGATCACTCTTTTAAAAGCTATGTGATTACAGAGCTGCTTTTATTCCTCAGCTTCAAACTTTATGCAGTGCTTCGTATGAACCCGGTATAATTTTTTAAATTTGTATTTTTTTAATGACTACAGTTGACCCTTGAATAATGGGGCTAGGGACATCAACCCCCTGTATGCTTGAGTATTTGTATATAACTTTAGATTCTCCTAAAACTTAACTACTAACCAGGTAAATAGAAGTTTCCCAAATCCTGTCTCCTAGATATTCTGACAGTTTTAATTATATTTCTAGTCTTTTCTGTGCATTTACATAATACAGTTGACTCTTGAACAACATGGGGGTTAGAGGTGCTGGCCCCGAACAGTTGAAAATCCGCATATAACTTTTGACTTGTCCCAAACTTAATTACACTAGCCTACAGTTGACCAGAAGCCTTACTGATAACAACAATAGTCAATTAACACATATTTTGCATGTTATATGTGTTATATTTTGTATCCTTACAATGAAACTAAGCTAAGGAAAATAAAATGTTAAGAAAACAAGGAAAGAAAATGTATTTCCCATTCATTAAGTGGAAGTGGATCATCATAAAAGTTTTCATCCCCAGCATTTTCATGTTGAGTAGATCAAGAGGATAAGGAAAAGAAGGAGTTGGTCTTGCTGTCTTAGGATGGCAGAGGCAAGACGCATCTCACATCTATGTGGACCCTTGAAGTCCAGACCCATGTTATTCAAGAGTCAACTGTATGAGGTGATACAAGGTCATTATAGACATTGTAGAAAATTCAGAAAAATATAAAGAAGAAAACAGAATCAGCACCACCCAGGGATAACTGGTATATACTGATATTTATATACCAGTATATTTCACTGATTTTTCTTAGTGTTTATTCTGTATATAAAGGTTATGTTATCAGAATCATTGTATACATATATGGTTTAGTGTCTTAATTTTTTTATGACTGTTTCTCATTGAGAGTACATTAGTATGATAATTTTCTGGCATATGCTTTTTAATGGCTGCATAATATTCTTTCATAAAAAGGGACTATATTTCATTTAACTATTTTCTTGTTGTGGGACACTTAGATTTCTTTCCTCAAATTTTCTCTGTTGTAAGTATACTTTGATAAACATCTTAATATATAAATCTTTGCCTGCATTCCTGATTATTTCTTACAGCCCCTTTTCCCACAGAGAATAGACATTCTCTGTGGATTCATCTCTGTCATTCAGACTGGATTCGTATTGCCAAATTGTTTTTGGAAAGATTAGTGCTGATTTTTTTATTCTTGTTACTGCAGAGAACTAAGTTAAATAATCCTAGTAAGGTCGTGGTTTATGAACTTTGGGCAAAGTATACTTCATCTTGCAAAAAAGCCATTTGAGAATTTTTACTAATGAATCATTTACTCTGTGCCTGTGCAAAAATAGCTACTCACCTTATCTTGTGCTTTAGCTTTGAGTCTAAAAGTACACAGCCAATTCGTGTTATGAATGGGGACTTCGTAACCCATACTATTGACTTAAATTATATTAAGTGCTGGCTGGTCATGGAGAAAGTAGATAGGCTAGAAACTAGGGAATACCACCTTGCCACAGACTTAAAGAGCATTAGGCAGAGCCCAGTATATATTTCCATTCTTTGAAATTCATCCTCTGTTCATGACTAGTGTGATCATAAATTATATTTAAAGATGTAACTCTATATACATATGATTCAATGTATAACAAAATTGCATCCAGCATTTCAGGACAAGTGGCGAGGCATTTGTGTGAGAAGAAATATATGTCAAGCTGCTTTTAGGGCTGTGACTGAACACTTGGCTATTGCGTGCCTTGTACCTTAGGTCTGGGGTGCTTCTGTCGCATGCCTCTGGAGTTAAATGACTCAGTAGTGCAAGTACTTCAGGGTTTGTATTAACAATGGTGTTTCAGTTGGTTCCATCTTGATATCTACAAAACTACCTGGGTCGTACTTAACATGCAATGATTTATATTTATATTAAGAAAACAATGACTCATTTGAGGGATGAGGGAAAACAAAAAGTATTTATATGCAGTGATTCTTAAATATACACCACCATGCTTTCCACCAGCTTTTAATTTTCGATCACGTCTCTTTTTCTTTGAAATTTAGAGTCAGAAGCAAACTGACTTCATGG